AATCATTCCTTGTCTAGGGTTATCCAGTGCCCATCAGGGGCTTGAAATCTGGCTGGATGATGGTAACCTTGGTCATGGAGGTCTCCTTCGTAGTCCATGGAGACATAGCAGCATTGCTTCTTCAGCTGGATCACTGTCTTCTTCAAGGCCTTCAGCACTGCGGGGTCATTGGGGCTCTCCATCAGCAGGCTGTGCAGGTAGCTGGAGAGGAAGCCACCAGCCACCCCGAGGCGGTAAGTGGCCTCCCTCCAGGTCTGGCCCAGGCAGATGGAGGTGACGTGGGACACTCCTGCCCCAGCCTCCACGGCCAGGCCAGTGACTCTGCCATAGGCACAGAGGGAAAGGAACCCGGTGTTAGCCATGTGCCGGGCTGGCACCTCGAAGCTCTCGAAAAGCACCTCCGCCACCTTTTCCCTGCTGGTGGAAGGGCAAGACGGGGAGTCAGCCATGAGCACCGGCTGTTCCTCTGGAGGAGTTTTCAGGCCACAGGAGAAGAGGTGGCTCCACAGGTTTTCCATGCCATCCCAGTCCTCAATGATGCCGTGCTTGAGTGGGTAAGTCCTGGGTGCTATGGCGAAGCCTGCCGTGCTTTCAGCGGTGGTGGGATCCCACTGGGTCTCCCAAGTCGTGCCTGCACAGCAGTGGTGCAGCGACATGGTCCTTAGCGCAAACTTGGGCTTCTGGCCAGCAAAGCCTGCCCGGGTGAAGCTGCTGCCATTGTCTACGATGACTGCGGGCTTTGGCATGACTGGCACTGCGGAGGGACACCGGGGAGGGAGGAAGAGCCTCACCCTGCAGTGGAACAAGAGGAGTCTCGTGGGGGCAAACCAGGCAGAGGTACCTGCTCTGCAGGGGAGGCTGCGGCTCAGCCCCAGCGGAGGACAGCTGTGCCTGCTCTAGAAGTGTCTGTCTCTGGGTGCGTGCCTCAGCCTTTCCTCCTCCTTGCTCCCTGCCTCGCTGAGCATCCCTCCTTGGGTACCTTGTCTCCATCCCTGGGGGCCTGGAGATTTTCCCCAGCCCCTTGGGATGTCTGACAGTGCAAGGACAAAACTCCAGGTGGTTTTAAGGAAGCAAGTGAAAACTGGACAGGAGAATGGTTGGCCCAGGCTGCAAGGAATGGTGCTGCTAGCAGAACCCATAGCATGGGGAAAGGAGCCATGATCTGGGCTGTGGCTGTTCATTGCACCTAGATTTTTGCCCAAGAGGGTCTGCGGCCACAGTGGAAAGGAAGGAAGGAGTTTGGGGTGCCTGTATGTGTGTCCAGGCACTTCCCCGGCTCTCCGTGTTTCTCAGACATGCTCCTGGAGCATGGCGTGCATCCTCACCCACTGTGTGGGTGCCCTCCAGGCCAGCTTGCCTTCTTGTCAGGATGCACAGTGACCCCTTCATTCTCCCCAGCGCTTCTTGCATGTCCCCTGGACCCCTTTACATGCACCCAGCGCTAACGCCCGTGGCGCACACATTGCACGTCAGACCGGGGAGGAAGGTGGTGAGGAAAGGGCACGCAGCCCCGTGTTCCTGCCAGACACCCCTCCAGACGGGCCAGGGCTCGTGGGGGCTGTCACTCACGCTTGGCAGGTGACATGGGGACGGGCTGTGGGGTGCGCAGATGCACATTGCATATTCAGTAGGGATCTCTTCCTGTCAGAGCAGAGAGGCTTGGCGCTGTCTTCCCGGGGAGAGAGGGCATGAAACCAGCCCGCTGCCCTGTCCTGCCGGCGGTGGGGTGCTCCCTGGAAGGGGCTGCCTGTGCCCGGGGGGCCGCTGCAGGCTCTCAGCCCCACCAGCCTCGTCCCAAGAGCCCGGTGCAGGCAGAGCAGCATGTGAACCATTGGGTACAGCAAGGGATGCTCTGCCAGCCCTGGAGCCCTCCCCGAGCTGGGGGCTATGTCCTTTACCTTGCGGCTTGGGAGCGTCCATCTGCGGTCCTCCACGCGCCTGGGGCTGTGGGTGCTGGGCCAGGATGGGGGGTGTCCACTGTGCATTCCCTGTTGTGACCTCACACGCACGCACCTAGAGGATGCTTTTGTCCTACAGTGTCATCATTTCGTACAATAACTAAAAATTTGATTGGAATCCACCCCCTTGGGTTTATTTAAGAGCCAACCCCTCCCAGACGTGGCTCTGCTCCCCCCACGCAGAGCCAGAGGCATCTGACAGATCCTCTCCCCTTCCCCGCAGAGGTACGAGACCTCCTCAAAGATGGAGCAGTTCCTGACCCGTTTTCTGCTGCGGGAAACCATGCACCAGCTGCAGTCCCTGCAGGCCTCGCTCGAGTGTGCTGTGGACACTGTGGAAGAGCAGGCGGGACGGGAGAGGTAATGGGGTGGGACATCCCCACCATCGCTTGTGGGGGCTGCAGCACGGGGCGGGACTCATGGGTCCCCCTGGGAGGGACATCTGAGAGCAGGATCTGCCCTTTCCAAGCCCGCTGTGAAGCTGACCCATATAGCGAATGACTCCAACCCTTCCTTTTGCATTTCATTCTTTCAGAAAGGACGTAAAGAAATCTGAGACTTTGGTTGGCCTGAGGTCAGGGAGACGATGTGGGCGCAGAGGACAGAAGAACGTCTGTCTTTCCCCAACAGACCCCTATTCCGGGATGCTAACGACAGGTATCTGCAGCCTGGCCACCCCTCGGGTTGGTGCCTCTGCTCTGCTGGAGCCTGGAGTGGGTGTGGGGGCAGCAGCACGGGACAGCGGGGGCTTGTCCAGGACAGAGCCTGGACCATCATACCCAGATGCCAGCTGGAGCTTCTGGGGGATGTTGTGTCTCTTGAGCAGTGGGAAAAATTTCAGGAGAAAATCAAGTCCGTTTTTTTTGTTTAAATCAGAGGTTTAGAAGCTTTTGTGGTTTTCTGGCTCTTGAGCAAGTTTTTGCAATGACAAAAGCAAGCTTTTTTGGTGACATCTCTCTGCCCTTCCCTTGCAGGCGTTTGTGTTGAAGACAACAGCCAGTGGATGGGGGCGCAGATCAATAGGCTCCAGCAGCTCATCGAGAAACTAGAGTGCAAGGTGCGTGGCAGAGGGAAGGTGGGCTGGGAACTGCCCCGCACCTCCGTGCTGGCCGGGTCGGTGCTGGGACCTCTCCCCGTGCCAGTGGCCCTGGTATTTGGTCCTGGCATCGTTAGAGAGCTACACCCATTCACCAGACCCAGACTTGCAAAGCTGCTCATCCCTAGCTGTCTCCAAAGCCCCCCTTCTCCCCTCAGGTCTACTGACCCTCCCCTGTCTTCTCCATGGTCTGTGTGGATCTGACAAGCCAGTCTGGGCTCGCTGAGCCCCACAGATGTGCAGGTCACATCCCTGTTCTCCCCCAGGTTCCCAAAGGAACGTCCCCAGAGCAGTACCCGTCATGCTGAGCTGGGCTGGGCTGTGGGTTACTGCCACGTTTTATCTTGTGGCAAATTTCTCCCAGTCACGATGATTTTTCCTGTGGTGTTACATGCAGAGCCCATGCCTGGAGCCGCTGAAGGAGGAAGCGATGTGCAAAGGAAGAGACGCCGTAAGTCCCTGTCTTGCTGCTTGTTGTTTGCAGGTAACCCTGTAGTGTGCACAGATCCTCTCTCTCTTGCATACGCGTGTGCTCGCACAGCCCCTGTGCCCCGAGACTGGAGTCACCTGGGTGAGCTGCTGGCTTCGGTCTGGCGGGGGGTCTGCTGCCCGGCGATGTAGCAGGATGGGAGTCAGAGCTGTGAGCTGGGGGTGGGCCCATCCACAGGACGAAGGCAGCTCCATCAGGTCCATGAAAGCCCCAGGCAGTGCCCACGGGCAGCCCAGAGGAAGGCAGCGCCCTGCTTGTGAGTGCCCAAATCCCCCAGGTTTGCTCTGAGCACCCACAGAGCATGCAGAGCCCCAGTGGAGGGATCCCGAAGCCCCTTCCTGCTGGAGGAAGGACACAGGGAACTGTAGCAGCCCCAAAGCAGGACCCTACCACGAGGGGATGGAGTATCTCCTGTTGGTGCGGTCCTTGTTGTAAAGGCAACCTGCCCAGGTAGGAAGAAGCCACTTTATGTTGGCGTTGTCCCCAGCATTGTGCTGCCAGCCCCTTCTTGCAGCTTCCCCTTCAGCGCTGCATTTACTCGGCACCGCCTGGTCCTGCAGCAGGCTGGGAGCAGGGAGGGCACAGATTAGTCCCTGATGCCGCTGGTCCACTGTCCCTTCACAGCACATCCTGGTGGCGAAGAGGCAGATCTCGGTGGCAACAAGCAGCATTGAGGAGTTTCGCCAGGCGTTCAGGTCCTACACGGAGGTCACCGCCGGGCAGAGCAGCTGCCTGCAGTAAGTGTGGAGGGTGGTGGGGCTGTTTGTGGCGTGGCCCGCCCAGAAACAGGGGCTTTTAACACAGCACCCTTGGGGGAAAAAAGGATTTTGTGTGCCAGTTGGCTTGGTGTGCGGAGGTTTGGCCTCGCAGAGAGGACAGGACGGTGTCACAGCTGCAGCGGTGTCTCTGGCTGCCGTACCGTTCCATCTCCTGCCGCAGGTTCCCCCAGCAGAACCACTTGTCAGCGTCTGGCAAGGACGAAGCTGGTTTTTATGCTAGCACAAGTGGCTGTGGCATGCATGTGTAACAGAACGTGTGTGTTCCTCCAGCACTGAAGGACTTGACAGTAATGGGGGAAAGTCAAGGGGAGAGCTCACGTCACAGCATTGCCTGAAGTGAAGTGTGTGTAGTGCTGGTGGGAAGCGGCCGTGAGACCACTTGTCAGCGTCTGGCAAGGACGAAGCTGGTTTTTATGCTAGCACAAGTGGCTGTGGCATGCATGTGTAACAGAACGTGTGTGTTCCTCCAGCACTGAAGGACTTGACAGTAATGGGGGAAAGTCAAGGGGAGAGCTCACGTCACAGCATTGCCTGAAGTGAAGTGTGTGTAGTGCTGGTGGGAAGCGGCCGTGAGCACCTGAAGCTAACCCCCGCGTGAGACCAAGGCTCTGCCCCGCAGCGCTGCCCCAGAGCTCCGAACAGAGCTGGGGACAGAGCCCAGGTCTGACTTCAGCGACGCGCCATTGCCAGCGTGTCCCTGGAGATTGCACAGCTGCTCTTCGAGAGGCGCTTTCCTTCTCCCACGGGAGATTTCAAGCCACTTTCAGCGGGAAATGCTCGTGCTGTTCCCGTTTAAAGTGTCATTTTTCAGCTCTTCAGTTCCAACAGCACAAAATTGCATTTTCAGTCCACACAAAAGGAAGATATTTGTTTTGACACGTGTGGCAGAGAGAATGGTATTTTTTTCCTTTGGAATTGATGGGCTTTTCTGTCATGACAACTATTAGTGTAGGCAACTGGATAGCATCGCATGGGCAGGCTCTCCGCATGAGCAGAAAGCTGGGGCAAAGCCCAGGGAGACTCCACTGTCCTGGTTCATGCCAGGGAATTGCAAAGCTCCTTGTGGCCCTCGTACAGGGGGACGCAGCCTCTGAGCTGCCGGGTGACCCGCTCTGCTCTCCCCCCTCCAGGGCTTGGTCCCTTCCTGCAGCCCTTAGCAGCAGCTGGAGGAAATGTTCATCCTCAGCTGGAATGAATGATGCTGCTGCAGCTGAGTGCAGATGGTTCCCCAGGCCCTGCACCCCGAGCCTTGCTCTCTCACCTCCCTGCTGCTTCCCCCTCTGTCTTCCCATGGTCTGGAGAAAGCCCCAGCCTGTTCTTCCGGCAGGAGGGAGCGTGGGAAGCATTGCATGGCGGAACAGCGTCGCTTCGGGGGGCAGCGAGCTGTGGTTTCGCGCTGTGATCTCAGGTCCTTCCTCTCATGCCTCAGTTTCTTTTTGCCTGAAGGGTGAGGGATGAGCACACCTACTGAAAGGGCTGGAAGGACGAGCTCCTTCGTCGGGCTCTGTGCTGCACTGCTAGGGACGTGCCAGGAAATACTTAATAAAACACTTAACGCGCTGATTTCTGGGCGCCAGTGAGGACCAGTTGAATAGCTGTAAAGCTCCTCTGCTGCCTGGCTGCAGGAACTGCGAAGCGTGACGGATTGGGATTTGGGATCCCCTGGAGCCGTGTGCCAGCCCCGGCAGCCCCACATTGTGGATGCATCCAGACTGCTCTTTGAAAGCCTCGTGGTGAGGCTCGCCTGTGGACCTGTGCCCCTCGCCCCC